TCATCTCTTCATCACAACCCTTCTCAACATTTAAGCCACCATCCCCATCGAGAGTAGGCCTGTCAATCTCACATGTAACTTTCTCCATTACTGGCACAAAGGGAGATGCAACATCAGACTCTTCCACCTGAACATTTTCTGCACACAAGAGTTTGCCAACTTCAGTCCCCTCATTAACATTAGCATTACTGGGTGAACTTTTATTTTCCTCATATAATTTCTCACTTCCAACATTAGGGCAGGTGGAAGAATCAACACATGGATCCATGCTTCCAACCTGTGTCGATCCATCAGTATCAATAATGAATGAGAGAGAAGGCTCCTCAGAATTACCTACTGGTGTTGGAACACATCCATCATGGTTCATGGAAACATCAGCACATCCTTCAAATTTATGTTCCTCTCTATCAAAACCATTTAGCTGACCAGGCAAGTCTATTAACTCTGTCAAACTAGAAACATTATTTGGCAGATCAGATGCAGCAGTTTTTTCAAATGTATCATGGTTATCACCAAGAGACTCCTTCTGAACCTCACAATCTTGCGGAACCTGCAGTGCTCTGGTCCTGTTTGCAGAGAAATCTCTTACAAACCTTTGGCAATCATCTTGGCCAACAGTAGAAGGTTGCTCCCAGGCATCCATTGACAGATTTAAATCCCAATGGGACCTGTCATCTCTTGGGGACCCAGACTTTTCAACCTTTCTGTCATCCTGATCAGCAGAAGGTTTGCGCGAGACAGCGGCACAATTTTCCTGAAAAGCTGAATTTTCCACATGATCTTCGCACATTATATCTTTAATGGAGAGAGAAGCTGTCTCTAGAGATACATTATTTTCTTCCATAGGAATAGAACAAGCCAATGAGTTAGGTTCTCCTTCTGTTGATTCTCCTGCCGAGTCATTTCCCTCTGCATAGTCAATACCATCAACCACACCACTATCACAAGCCACAGTTGCAAGCATCTCAATACCAGAGAAGTCTCCAACACCATCAAGTTTCTCAGTTGTAAGCATCTCAGTTCTTGATGGCTTTCTCCCAAAGTTCGAGTTCCAACAAGGTCGGCCTGAAGCCTGTTGACAAGGTAGTACAAAATCTTCAGGAATTTCAATATGTGCAGAGAGAGTCCGTAGTGGTGGAGGTGATGGAGATCGAAATACAAATCTTCGTTTCTTTATTGGTAACTGCTCTACTTTGTCTGTGAAGCGCCGTCCAAGGACAGCAACACCAACCTGTCCAACAGAAATAAAAATGTAAACATTAGAATAATGAGAATTTGCTAGAGGAAATTCTGACTAGAAGGGAAGAAAAATACAAGATAAAATTGGAACATGCAATATATAACCTTCTCAGATTCCGAAACTGTTGTGCTCTCAGCCCCCCTTGCACAGCCATTAGTTGCCTCCATTACCCCAATTGTACTTCCAGTGACTTGTTTCCTAGTGCGCCTAGTCACACTCCTGTTTCCCTTGGTCACCGTCTTCCAAGTCAAGTCAGGATTTACAAATTTTGCATGTTCCACACCCACTGTACTCATCATACCTGCAAGAAAAAGATCCTACCATCAACCAATGGTCTACCACAACTAATTTAGTTTTGCAAAGAAGCTGCTGCTTGTTTCTTCCAACTTGACATTGGAGTAGCAGAAGTATTGCCAGTGCATGTGCAGACTTCAGTCTGCAGATGGTTGAAGTGAATTCTTTTTATCTAATATATGCCCATAAGCCGATTAAATACATAAAATAAAATGCCAATGGTAGCATAGGGAAACACTCCAAGCAAATTACTCTCTCTTAGGTCTGAATTTTTTGAGTTGAATTTCTGTTACCTAAATTCTTGCCCACTAATTAGACTAATTAGGTAATCAATTCCAGGGAAACAAGAATTTTCCCCCAAAAAGTCCCCAAGAGAAAACCTGAGAAACTTACTGCTAAATCAGTTGCACAATTGTCACACCAATTAGCAGAACAAATTCCCTGAACAGATCACAGGAACATTAGCCTTTAGTTGCCACCTTAATTTTATCACCTGCAAAATATAAAGGTACATCAAAAAAAAAACCCATAAAGCATAAAACACAAACACAATACAAGAAACAAAGCAAAACAGCTAGCGCACATATATGTTTTTTTTTTGTCAAAAATAATGTTATCAAGCCCAAAAGCTGATAACAAGACTGCCAGCACATGCCTCCACAGTCCATTACCTTGAGGCAGAATGTGTTAACAAGTTTTGAAGGCCAGCAAATGCTCCATCAATTGTGAATGTGGCATTGAACATACTGGGTTCCTTATACTTGGAACCAGGCTTCTTCACAACCATATAATTAAGAGCAATAAAACATAAAGAAACTAGGAAGGGTTCACAATTCAAACTACATAGAGTTAACACCCAAAAACGAGTGTAACTGAGCATGTAATTTTTATCTAAAGGTTGCTTTCCGCATTTTGACTAGCTGTCATTTCATAAGATCCCGTTCTACTCCATCATGTAACCAAAGGTTGCCAAAGTGCATCCGAAACATCAGAACCCATTATGGAAGATATCACAACCCCTCCTAATCTTGAATCCAGTTGCAATTTTCCTTTTCGAATAAAAGCCCAGGCCAAAAAGGATCTAAGCAACAAAGCCTCCCCCTACCTTCCTCTGTTCTAGAACAAAATTTCAATTGCTTATAATCCCCAGCATAAAAGTATATGCGGCTCCATATATTGCAAAGCATGTAGACAGAATCAAACAAACATGAGATATCATGTCCCGATTGAAAAGCAACAAGTTTAGAAGACAAATTAACACCTTTCTCAGTCACCATTTTGCTCCTGCAAATCGAGAGTGATTCCTAAAATCTAATTATTCCATTTCCGTTGTAGTTACATAGAAGCCAGCCGGCACAACTGCCTTTGTCATGCATATAAAGTCACATAAGAAGCAGATCAGTATTGCGTTCAATGTTTCATCTCAAAACTCCAAAAGCCGAGTAGATCTCACGCTTTAGCAGAAAACTAAGGCTTCAGTAATGTTGATAATCACAAGAAACGGTGATATATCGCGATATATAGCTTGTTTCTAAGACTAATATATGGGAATCTCCGCCAGAAATCACATCTCATGATCCACTATGGCCCTTGAAAAACCCTAATCCTTCAGTTGTGCTCGTCAAAAGTAAATCCTGCTCAGTCATAGAGGATTTTCAATCCTTTTCGCAGCCGACAATAAATGAGGTACATCAAACAAATCCAGAGCGAATCGTAGATTTCGAAGCACAAAATCTCCTATGCTCGAGGGAAAATTAACCACAAACAAAGCGTAAAAATCAAAAACTAGGGTTTTTCAATACCTGTTTTTGTTTTAAATCAAAATCGCACGCGATTAGAGATTTGATGGAACTTCTGATGAGATTTGAATCACAGTAACCTCTCTCTTTCAAACAAATCTTCAAATCATAACGAGAAAAAAGAAGGCAACAAAAGAACCACCGAGATTCAATCCTTCCTCTTCACCTCGTTCTTCTTGGTTGTCAGTCAAGTCCTCGTTTGTAGACAAATCAATTGAAGATTTCCAACCATCCGATCGCCGGACCTTTCGACGTCGCCGAACGCCGGTCCTTCCCCTCTTTCTGATAACTTTTCTCTTCTCCCGCTTGGCGACAGACAGTCTCGTCTTCCTCTCTCTTCCCTATTTGGATTACAGCAGAGGAGATACCCTATCACCACACGTATTTATTATCATCTTTATACCCAAAATACCCTTCCCCGAGCTGCCATATTTCGCTAATTGCCTTCCTTTTTTCTTTATTTTGTTTCCGTAAATTGTTTTTATTACTCAAATAATATGATAATTTTTGCAATTATTACGAAATCTTAAAATTTTAAAAAAATATATTATATAATTTTTTTTTTTACCAATACTTCATTTTGTAAAAAATTAATAAAAAAATTTATTAATTTATTAATTTAAATCTATAATATTTTTTACTTGATTTTATAGGCAAAAAAAATTCTAAATAAATGTATTTTTTTCTAATTTTGGCAGCTTTATTATTATTATTATTTTCACAGAAATGGGGGGACCAATTTATAATATATAATAGGAAAGTTAAATATTTGCTGGAAGCCTCGATTTGGCCCAACCCTAAAAGTCAATGGTCAAACAGTGACTGATCCCGAGGGCTATATTGACTTTTCGCGTTTTATTTCTTTTATATTTTATGGGACGCTAAAATTGGAGTTTAAATGGAAATAAAATATATTTAATCACATGCCATTTTCAAAAAGGAAAATTTGAATGAAAATGAAAGATTAACAAATCAATTTTGATTATCCAATTTTAACTTACCTAATTAATTAAAATAATAATTTAAACAAATAAATTGAATACTAATCCTTAATTTTTTGACTAATCATTCATTAGTAGAACTGTAAATGATTAATTAATCTTAATCTTTTGTGTACCATAATTTTTTGAAGTGAAATATAAGAACTAATTAAGCATTAATTCTCACACGAATTATATTAAATTAATATTAAAATATGTTTTTATGGCCAGTTTCAAATATGTTAATTTGATTCTGTGGACGTGTCTTAATATGGTGAGAAGTAAAATTTATGCACGTGTTTAAATTAATTAAAAAAAATAACTAATGTCTTAATATAATTTAAAGTACGATTTTTTGAAAAAAAACATTTTTAGTAGAAATTTTTATTCATACATTATAAAAGTTATATTTTGTATGTATCACAATATATAAATTATATTAGAATGATAAAAAAAATGAAATTCATATAAAATTTATATTTAGAACTGAACAATGCATTTTAAATTTCATGAAAATTAATAGAATTTTGATATGATTTTCTATATAAACTCAATTTTTTTTCTCATTTTAAGTGGAACAGTGTTCATCTTTAAATGAAAATAAATACCCATTAAAAAAAAATTGAAACAAACTTAAAAATAAAATTTACCCAAAATTTACATTTATTTCAAACACAGTTTTAATCTAAAATAATTATACATATACACATTTACAAATAAGTTTTGCACACACACACACACACATATATATATATATATTAAACTTGAAGCATAATGTAAGATTCTAACGCAAGTTTGCTGGAGAATTTGAGAATCATTTCTGATTTGGAGCATTCTTTATTCGGATGAGAATATATATATATATATATATATATATATATGTTCTATGACATTTATAACAATTTCTTAAAATACACAGAGAGAGAGAGAGAGAGAGAGAGAGAAATTCCTTCCCTGACAGATGCTGTTTAATATTAGGAATAGGTGAGAATAAATGGCCTATTTCTGGAGAGGAAAAAGTAATACTGGATTCTTTTTGGTATAGTAATATATATTTGCTGTTGAACAGGTCAAATATATATTAAGATAAAAACTATATTCTAGTTAAACTGATTTGTAACTTTTACATACCCAGATAATATATATATGTATATATATCTATATATAAGACACTTGTATTTGCATTCAACTAATATTTGATTGAAAATTAAGAAAAATAAATAGTATAGAAACTATATGGTTTAGCCATAGTCTGACAGTTCAGAAATTTAATGCTCACTAGTAATTTATAATACTTAGCTCTCTCTGAAACTAAGGGGTAAGAGATCAGGCAATTGTGAAACCACCCAAAAGGACAAATTGAATAAATTTACACCCTGATTGAACTTGGTTATAAATAATTTAGTCTTTAAGATAAAAAGGAGAAATCTTGGCAGTATTCACCATGTCAAGTAATTGATATAAACAACACCCTATATATGTTTGAAGATGACAAACCTTAGTAGGATTTTGCAAAAATGGCAACTTCTTCAGCTGGTTTGCCGGTCATCAGACAGGTTTTGATCCCCAGGGGTTGGTCGAAGGGAAAGCAGCGTATGGTGGCCCCGGTTTCTTCTTTTACTCTCAATTCATCTGCATCACTGCATTGGTAGTGGAAGAATAATTAGATATCTAAAACAATGGCACGAAAGTGGGCATAACTAGTGATGAAATCTTGGTTGCAGAATACAATTAGTATGTACAAAGCTCAAGCGTGAACTACCTAGCTGACCACGGACCCCTAGCCCATTTTCCCAAGGATATTGCTTCCTTGAGTTCACTATAAGAGCCCACATCCACAATGTTACTGCACAAGGAAGTTAAAACAGAAAATAAGAAGACTAGCAAATTAAAATCAAGAGCAAAAGCCCCAAGCACACATCATATGTTGACATCAATATTAGACAGAAAGCGCCCTTGAACAACAAAAGCCGTCTATTCAATGATCATTTTTCTTGAAGCAATAAATAAAACACGTGTATTCAATAATGCATTTTTCTTTAAGGAATAGAAAACATTATGTGTAGTTTGCTTCAAATACAGATGATATTGCAAATTCTATCATCGTATCTCTAGGAGTTCCAATTCATGTGATGTGCAGATTCTCCCATGGTCCCAACCAGTACACTCTCTCACACTTCCAGGAATGCGAGTTTCAGGTTTGGTTTGACAGATAAGAATAGGCACCTATGAAAAGAGAAACAGGCTGCCAATGTGCAACTCATCATATTGGACATAATAGATCAATGCACTACTATAAACTATCGTTTTCAGAGGATACCTTTGGTACCCTCGCCACCAGTAAGTTACAGTGAACTGCATCCAGAAAAAAAATAGGAAGTACAAACCCTTGAATGCCACAGCATCCACATCAGACATGGACATCTTTTATTGTTGAAATAAGAAACTAAAAATAACAACAGGAGGCCATAACATTACGCAGACAATGCCCTACAAAGAGACTAAGAGCTGTCATTTGGCTACCTGGGGGCAGTTTAAAAAATAGTTACATGTCTGGGTATCCATTGGATGCTAAAAAACAAAAAAATGAGATCAAACCGCTGGCATCCATAATTCTACTGTTTGTTATTTGCAAACAGAAAATGAAGTCCACCAATTCAGTTACTTGAGGATTTACCTTGGCAGCAAGTGCTACTTATATCATATGCAAACCATAACAATTCCTATAGCTCTTTTATTTCAAAAAAAAAAAAACCTTTCGCTCAAGAACAGAACATTAAAAAACAGATGATACTGGCAACTGCAGGACTGAGTCTAAAATTAATCAAACACAAAACTTGAAATCAACAGTAATTTTTTCTTCTTTTCAGATTCAACATAGTAATTTCCGAAGAGAGAAATTGCACCTATCCCGAAATGATGTTGCCCTCCCAAGAAGAGATGACTGGATCTCATCCAACTTGTCTTTGACATAAGCTTCTAAAATTGAAGGTTCCATGGATATGCCAAAAACTTTCCCTTCCTTTCCAGGAACATCTCTCCTTGATATGACCACACTTCCACTGGAAACATCCCGTGGGCCAATCTCAATTCTTAGAGGGACTCCCTACAAAATCAGTGTCTGAAATTAAGGTGATGAAGTACAATGTCAAACTCCAAACAAAAAGCCTTTCAGAAAATCTTATTAGGCTGCAGTCAGTTCTTTGACTCGAAAAGTATAAAATACTTTAAGAAGCAAACTTAACAATCATTAATGGTTAAAGCATGGTGAAGAAAATAATTCCGTTTAGTCTTGGTTTAAGTCAGTACCTTGGAATTTCCAAGTCATTATAGAAACTAGAACACAGATTCTTTTTTCATTTTGGAAACATAAAACCATTACACTATTAAGCACCAAAAAAGTTAGTACTGAAGTTTGTTTTTCGACAACTAAATACCTTCATTTCCCAGAAATTGAATTTCCAACCCGGGGTTCTCTGATCTGAGTCATCAAGTTTAACTTTAAGCCCAGCTGTTTGTAAAACTCCTTTTACAGACAATGCAGCAGTGAGCACTCCTGTTTTCTCATCAGCCTTCTTCCATATTGGAACAATTATAACCTAGAAGCAGATAACCCATTAGGGAGAAAAAAAAAATTGAATTCTGAAAGAACAAAATCAAGTATAACCGACATATTACTCGTGGCAAAAAAATGGACAACAAAGTTGGGTAAGCTAAGCCCTTAAGTTTCTTAAAAATATTTGCAGGCAGTTTTTTCCATCCAAAGGAATACTAGGCTCTATGGTCATGATTTGATTCCCCAACAAGTAGGATACTTACAGTATGCAATTCAAATGGGCATCTCAACAGCACCAACAAGATTGTAGATTATAGATTGCCATTTAAAAAGTAATAATAAAACAAAACGGAACATTAGGCATCTAAAACATACCTGTATTGGTGCAAGCTTTGGAGGGAGCATTAACCCATTGTCATCTCCATGCGTCATGATTATACCACCTACAAAGCGGGTACTGATAGCCCACGATGTCTGCCACACATGTTGCCTTTCTCCATTTTCATCAGTAAACTATATGAGCGTATATTTTGGTCAAAGTTCACTCATCAATAGAAATTATGAATAACCAAAGGCAAAAAATTGAAGTTGTGATTTCAAAGGACTCGGCAGAATTAAGTTTGAAGGGGCCAAAAGATCATTCAGTATAAAGCCTAAAGAGATAAAATCCTTAACATTACATCAGGGTTGACCAGTTCCTCAAAGTTGGATTGAAAATACTCTTCACCACCCTGTTCTGGTGCCACCATTATTTCTCCCAGTTTTTGGAATCTTAGTAGGAAACGATTACTCGCATAGAATGCTAATGAGCCAAGTGAAGTTGCAGACATGTTAATGGTGCCTAAGGTAGTAAGCCATAACTCTTGTTCTCATAAAAAAGGAACCCCGAGTATGGAAAACATAATCATATAGCTGCAAGAACACCAGTTATAGAACTAAAAAAATGGACTCTCTATGTTTTTTACACGTGCTATTAGCTTCCTCAACATCCTCCAAACAAGATTCCTGATAAAGTTTGTTAAGAATAATAATCATAGAAAAGACCTAGGAATATGTAAACAAAATCATTATGTTACAGCAACCACTCTAAGCTTCTGAAATAAAACTCAGAAAGGTACTTAATAGTATATGTTGCTTTGATCACCTGTGTTCCAAAGGCACGCGAGAAATTTTGACCAAGGTCGTGGCTTGTTCCAGCTTGTAGTGCCTTCCGGTCACCCATCATAGCCTCTATAGTATAAGTCTTATCAGCACCAGCAAATGTTTCCACTTTTGATTTTCGACCTACAATAACAGGTATTGCAGCCTGCTCATAAGCAAACTTTGTATAGATATCAATCATCTGCATCGCCTGTGTTACAGCAATGCAAATGTATTAGTTATGCATAAAGACCATAAGTAGCCTAGAAGGAAAAAACGGTGTTAACCTCTTTTTCTGCCTCTTCTGGGGTGGCATGTGCAGTATGACCCTCCTGCCAGAGAAACTCAAGAGTCCTCACAAAAGGTTTTGTGCGCATCTCCCACCTTGTGACATTTGCCCACTGAACCAAATAAATAGCAAAACAACTGGAAATAAAAAACGGGGAGCAAAAACAGATGCAACCAAATTCTATTTACAAGGGATACAGCTTGAGCAACAAGGTTGGACCTGGTTGATCATGAGAGGAAGATCACGATAACTATGAATCCACTGAGTAAACATGTGATTCACAATGGTTTCACTTGTAGGTCGAACCTGCCACAACCTCAAGAAATGCAACAATCAAAGCCAAAACTCAGGTCATAAATTTTCATGGACCTGAAACAGTATTATCACCAAGATAGTATGAGATTTATACAACTGCTGATTATCTGCATACCACAAGTTTCTCTTCAAGTTCCTTCCCTCCCCCAACTGTAACAAGAGCTAACTCTGGACTGAAACCCTCAACATGGCTAGCTTCTTTCTCTATGAAAGAGTATGGTATAAACTGCAGTAATATGGTTCAAATTGTACATATCAAACAAGTTGCCAATGCCATCCAGATAACAAAATCGAAAGAAAAAAATCCAATAATTTGTTAGAAACCAATGTATCACGAATATAACAGGTCGGCGTATTAGACGTTTTGCTAAGAAATTCAGCTCTAAAGACTTCACTACAAAAGAACAATCTAACTCAATCGAGACGAATATTTGCATAGAAGCGAGCATTTACTGAACTCTCTCATAAACCACAGAGAAGATTAAGAATCACACCTGTGGAAAGTACATGTTGCTGTGCCCTGTCTCCTTGAACTTAACATTCAAGTAATCCTGTAATTTACAAAGAAATGAATACATAGAAACATTTACAAACAGAGAAGGATTTAAATCAGTAATCCACGAACTATTGATGATTATTAAGGACCTGAATAGCCTCCCAAATGGCATAACCGTATGGACGAATAACCATGGTGCCACGAACGGGACCATAATCCGCGAGCTCAGCGTTAGCAATAACATCGAGGTACCACGCATTGAAGTCCTGAGACCGAGGAGTGATGACTCGGTCCTGGTTAACTCGGTTCTTCTGGCTAGCCACTCGGTCGTCCGTCTCAGCCGGACTCGAAGCCTTGCTCTGTGCAGTGAATCCAGCGGAAAAAGGCGGCCGGAGGTAGAATTGCCGGAAAGAAGCCGGAGACCGGCGCGCCGAAGGAGAAAAAAGAGAAGTGAGAGAAGGTAGTCTCAGCGACACTACCATTTTCCGATTGAAAACCTGTATTTGAGATCTTGAGTTCGAAGATGTTCGTGTGAGTTAACGAGATGAGGTTTAGACGCGGAAGAGTATGTGAGTGACTGACGTCTATGGGGGTTCGTGGTCGTTCAGGCCTGTCAGCCGTTGGATCATATCTTAGTTTCCTAAACATTTGGAAAATTTTATAGGGTTGAAATGAAAATTAAATAACGAGTTATTTGAGATTAATTCAAAATTATCATTACATTTTTACTTAATTTTTATATTAATTTCAAACTCGCTAATTATTACATTAGAACCAATTGTCAAAGTATGATTAGGCTAGTTTTTAGCATAATGAAAATTAGTAATTTGTTTGTTATTTGCGAAAATATTTTTTATTTTAACTTTTTATAATTATCTGTATTTATTATAAAAATTCGTAACAGTTGCATATTTATAAAATAATTATAATGCAACAAAAATAATTTTTTTAAAAAAATAAAAATGATTGTTAAAAATTTTTAATTTATTATTATTTTCAATGTTATTCTCTTTATATTACCAATTTCGTCCTATTATCTTATAAAAAATATATATATGAATATTAAAAATATCTAAAATTAATACAAATATATTTTAAAAAATATTTTTGACTAAGTTTTATTAACATACAGCTCTCAATTGCCATTGCAATTCCAAACCAAACTTTCTAAAAGTCCAACCCGTAGATTTTATTGGAAAAATCTTTTGACCAACTTGAGAAAACACGTAATACCAATAATTATTCAATTATTATTTTACATGAAAGTTACATATTTAAATATAATCGAATTATCTATTTTACATTAAGATTACGTATTTAAACATCATCAAAAACACATAATTTCTAATTTTGTAAGTATATTATAAATTATTAGTAGTCTAATTTATAATATTTAATTGAGTGAAATCAAAAATTTAGTTTATTAATTATCAATGGATGATTTAGTTACACTAAATCTCAACAAATCTTTTACATTTTTTAGCAAGAAAAAATATTACGTGCTTAATCATAACATGTTAAAAAACAGTGAGTATAAAAAAAGACAGCCAAGTAGCCGACTAAATAAAAAAGAAAAGCCTACACGAAGCTACTTGCAAGAGAGAAAGAGGAGAGCATCTTTATTTATTTGATAACAAAAAGATAATAGACTAGACAAGGAGACGATGATTATAGATTCTAAAGAGAAAGAGAAGACGATCTCCGAGAAAATGAAAGAGCAAGCAAGAAAAAAAAAAGAGGAAAAGAAGGCTGAAAAACATCTAAATAAAAAAGAAAAGAAAAAGCTAACTCTTCTTAAGCGTGAGCGGCCCTCTCACCCAAGAGTCACTCACTTCACTTCAAGAAAAAGAAGAAGAGTATGAAAAGCATGAAATCGACATCTTCGAAGGGCGACGAAGAAAAAACAAGAAGGCATGGAACGAGCGGGATTATTAACCCTCAAGAGAAGTAGAGACCCAGAGAGAGCAAACTCCCTAGCCTGGCCTATCATAATGGAAAAATAGGTAGACGAAAATCTCGTAAACATCTACCTAAAAGAAAAGAGATATACGTAGACCATTCTCAAAAGAACATATAATTTCTAATTTTGTAAGTGTATTATAAATTATTAGTAGTTGACTTATAATATTTGATTGAGTGAGATCGAAAATTTAGTTTATTAATTATCAATGGTTGATTTAGTTACACTAAATCTCAACAAATCTTTTACATTTGTTAGCAGAAAAACATTACGTGCTTAGTCATAACATGTTAAAAAACAGTGAGTATAAAAAAAGACAGTCAAATAGCCGACTAAATAGAAAAGAAAAGCCTACACCAAGCTACTACTTAGTTTGTTCATGACTCATCATTTTATCTTACAATCCGTTAACACTATGCAGCAATTCAAGATTATGGTCTATTCCTCACCTCAAATTTTCAAGATAGTGAGAAAGAGACCAAACAGGCCATGGAAGATATACATACACAAGTGAATTCAACAATCTAGAAAAAGATGAAAAAAGCAATGCAAAAGAATGATCCCAAAGAAGTCTATTCCATTCAAATACAAATTTCCATCTTTACAACCTAACCGGCTAAAAATCAAACAGCAAGAACAGCCAAATAAGAGACAGGACTAACTAAAAGACTCCAATCAACCGGTATCCAAATGTAATAGAATTTCAACACGGGCTTTAAAAGCTCAGAAAGCTGTTGAATACCAAAAAGAAAATTACCCAAGAACTGTCATCACCCAGAAAAAAAAAAAAAGCATCAACTCAAACCGAATCCGGGGCAGCAAAAGAACAGGCTTCACATGATTGCAAGTTTACAATCTTATACCAGCTATGGGGCTAGCGGGATAGAACTCAGTGCTTGGGAAATGCTGGTGTGTCCATCAACTCAAAGTTAACAAACTCATCATCCTTCCAGCCATGATCATGATTTATTAGTCCCGGGGTTTTACAAGGGGGTGAGAGATGGAGGTTACTATGAGATGGATCATCTATCAACCGATGCTCAGCCATCTCGTCCATTTCCGAGGTCTTCCAGGAACTCTCAGGCTAAAACAGAAAATAAGCTGGTCTTCAATTATACATCAACAAACAAATTCATGGTTCAAAGAACACGCCAAATGAAAAGGAAACTTGCAGGATGGGGGAAGATTGCAAAAGGCTAACCTTCGTTTTGTTGAACACTGGAGATGACCGTGGAGATGGGGACCTACGTGGCAAACCTACCCCAAACAAGTACCAGAACATGCAAATTAAACAATAATGATGAGAGAGTTTTTAGTTCAGTTTAGACAATTAGTGCATTTTCACTCTGTTTTTTACCACTATCAAGTCCAACAGTGTTGAGAAATTGATCCATGTCCATAGCTCGTCTCTGTGCTTTGATGCACTCTTGATGGTTGTGCAGAAATCTTTCCTCAGTGACGGCACCATCATGAATTGTCTCCTCTGCAAAGACACTCAGCTTTGTCTTGCTGCTCTTCTTTGATCCTTTATGCAGCTCTGGCTTTCCAGAATTCGAGATGTCCAAAAGCGCTTTCCTGTTACCAATCTGGAGTTTTTCATTATCATTTGTGATTTTCTTACTTCCCTTCTTACTAGCATCATTTGTGATCTTCTTGACAGCAAGCTCTTTCTCAATTGAGGAGAAAATATTGGGATTCTGGGTTTTAGGCTTCAGCGAGTTTGATAAATCACCAAGAGGTTTCCTCCCACCAAGTCCCCCTTTCCTCACTGCTTTTGAAACGTTTGTCTTGCTCCCAACAGAAGGCCCTGAAGTACAGATTTTGAATGTTCATAAGCTCAAAATTCCACAAGTAAATCAAATGAGAGAATGGGGATTTCAATCAATATGACAAAAGCTTTGTGGGAAATTAGTACCAGTGCCACTGGTGTGAGCAAAATTCTGATCTTGAACCAAACCACCAGCCTGTGAAGCCATTGGTTTTTTGTGGGTAGAAATTCAAGTTGCTCTTCTGCAACTAGAAGAAACTACTGTGAAAAAATGGATGTGAATATAGAATATGATATAAATAATTTAAATCAATAAATTCAGACCCAAAAAATATAGCTGTATGAAAGAGCCAACAATCAACTGTTCAAATATCAGATTCTGGACCAACTTATGATGATTTTTTTTTTTTTGTAAAATTCATTCAGAAGTGTATGGAGTAATTCCAAATGAAATCTAAGTGAAATTGTTGAAATAAATTTTTACTTCCTGCTAAACGGAAATGACGCCATAAGACTCTAATTTCTAACTTAATTCATTAAAACATTTACTCATTTCAAACAAGACACAATTGAGAAGCTCTGGATCAATCAAAAATTACTCACTTACCAGAAACCCCCTAAAGGAATTTCTCAAGGTCTCTTCAGAAACAACATATAATCGGGATAAAAAAAAAAAAAAACAGACGATTTAATCTTGTTTGCCTGCAAAATGATTAGGGTTTCTGGATTAATAAAAAAATTACTCAGGTATCAGTGAGACATTAGAGGAATTTCTCCAGGTCGCTTTAGAAACATCAAATAATCGGAAAGAAAAAACAGACAATTGAATCTTGTTTATCTGCAAATTTTCTGTATCAATCGAGATTAATCAGGCATCCAGTGAAACTCTCATAAGATTTCTGCGCCTCTCTTTAACAATTAAGAATCACAAAAAATAATAATAATAATAATAATAATAGTTTAAATCCTGTTTGTGCGCGAAATAGAAATGGCTCCCGTGAGATTCCTTGAAAAAAGAGAGTGAACCGTCGCACACAGATAGAGAGTCAAAAATTCCCACTATTTTCTCATCAACCAAACAGATCAATCACAATATTTGAATCAATCTTTCAAAGAAGAAAAAAGAAACTCACTTCGCGGTGTTTCGACGAACAGATCCTTCCGGGCTCTGTAAAGGAACTTTCTCGCTCTTTGGAGTTGAATTTCTCGACTACGATCTTCACAGCTCTCTGTTTTCTCTCTACAGTTTTGTTAGCAACGTTTCTTTCGCTGATTGTTTTCGAAATCGGTTTACAAAGATTAGGCTCCCCCTTTTATGCCCAACGGGGCAGCACAACGGTCACTTTTGCAAATTTACTTTTATACCCTTGCTTTTCTTTTAATATTTAAATATAAATATAATATCAAAATTGTAAAGTTCTAAAGTTAAATTTTTGCATATCATAAATAAACTCTGTTATGCGATATTTACTTTACCATCTTAACATTATAACACATTAAACACTATATGAGGTGGGTATATAGATTATGTGTTTAAGAGTAAGTGTTCATTAATTAATTTATTTAAAACCAATACTAATTACAATTTATTAAGTCAAATTTTTAATTAATTTGAGTTCTAATTTAAACATCATCAGTGTTATAAAAACTAGTTCAAATTAAAATTGTCAAAATGGTATAACTTACATCTCTGGGTAGGCTGAAAAACCAAATGATACTTATTATTTTTTGAAACATCAGAGTCAGAGCAGTCAGCAGACTGATCTTCTGTAGCCATCTTACTTAAGCCGCTGGTTTGATCATTATGATATGTTTTACAGACTTATTGAGACATATATTCAATATGAGGACACGTCCTGCATCAACTTTTCAGACACGTCACATCCAGGAAGATCAGTTTCAATATGAGGAACTGACAAAGATACATCGGCTTGTCCACTTGTATCCAGATTTACCAGACAATGTTCATCCACATAGGTCAATGCATTTTCACACTTGGATGAAGAACCCAGATCTATTTCACTACCAGTCTCATCACACGTAACCTTCTCCAAAACCGGCACAAATGGAGACGCAACATCGGATTCATCCACCTGAACATTTTCTATACGTAAGAGTCTGTCATCTTCAGCCCTCTCATTCAAATTAGCTCTGATAAATGAAGAACATTTGGTTGCCTCATATAATTCGTTGCTTCCGACATTTAGGCATGACTACGAATCAACGCATGGATCCATGCCTACGACCTGTGTCGATCCACCAGCATCAGTAACAGATGAGATAGAAGGCTCCTCAGAATTACCTACTGGTGTTGGAAAACATTCGTCATGATTCATGGAAACATCAGCACATTCATCAAATTTATGTTTCTCTCTGTCAAAACCATTAGGCTGAACAGGCAAGTCTTTTAACTCTCGCAAAATGGATATATATTCCTTGGTACACCAGATAAAGCAAATTTTCCAAACTTGATATGGTTATGATCGTGAGCTTCCTGGACTTTGCAATCTTGCAGAACCTGCAGTGCTCCATTCCTGTTTGCAGAGAAAGGTTTTACGACCGTTTGGCAATCATCGTGGCCAACAGCAGAAGCCAGCTTCCAGGCATCCACTGACAGATTTAAATCCCAATGGGACCTGTCATCTCTTGGGGACCCAAACTTTTCAACCTTTATATCATCCTGACCAGCAGAAAGTTTATGTGAGAGGGCAACAGAACTATCCTGAAAAGCTGAATTTTCCACATGATATTCGCACACTATATCCTTAGGAGAGACAAAAGCTGCCTCTACAGATGTATTATTTTCTTCCACAGGAATAGAACAAGCTGATGAGTTATGTTCTTGTTCTGTTGATTCTTCGGCCAAGTCATTCCCCACTGCATGGTCAATATCATCAACCACACCACTATCACAAACCATAGTTGCAAGCATCTCAATACCAGATAAATCTCCAATACCATCAAATTTCTGAGTTGTAAGAATGTCAGTTCTCAATGGCTTTCTCATAAAGTTTAAGTTCCAACAAGGTCAGCCTGAAGCCTGTTGAATAGGTACAACAAAATCTTCAGGAATTTCAGTATGCGCAGGAAGATTCTGTAGTGGTGGTGCTGATGGAGATCGAATTACAAATCTTCATTTCTTTATTGGTAATTGCTCTACTTTGTATGTGAAGTGCCATCCACGAACAACAACACCAACCTGCCCAACAGAGCAAAAATGTAAATATTAGAATAATAAGAATTTGCTGGAGGAAGTAGTGTCTACAAGGGAAGAGAAATACAAGACAGAAAATCTGAAGAACATTTGATATATAACCTTCTCAGGTTCAGAAACTGCTGCTCCCTTAAGCCCTCTTGCACAGGTATTAGTTGCCATCATTATCCCAATTGTGCTTCCACTTATTTGTTTCCGGGTGCGCCTTGTCATACTCCTGTTTTCCTTGGTCACCATCTTTCAATTCAACTGAGGGTTTATAGATTTTGCATGTTCTACACCAACTGTGCTCATCAAACCTGCAGGAAAAGATCGTACCCATAAAAAAAATGGTCTACCCCAACTTGTTTAGTTTTTCAAGAAGTTGCCGGTCCTTTGTTCCAAAACTTGACACACTAGTAGCAGCAACTGCTAGAGCAAACTGCCAATTCAAGTGCAGATTTTATTCTACAGGAAATAAAAGTGAATTCTTTTTATCAAAAACTTCTATGACCTAAATTCTTGCACGCTGATTAGCTTAATTCGGTAATCAATTTAGGGCACAAGAATTTTGCCCCAAAACATCCCCGCAAGGAAACCTTGAGAAACTTACTGCTAAATCAGTTCCACAATCGTCACCAGAAATCTGAACATATCACAGGAACATTAGCCTTTGGTTGCCACCTTATTTTTTTCACCTGCAAAATACAATGATACATGAAAAAAAAAACATAAAGCATAAACCGCAAACACAAAATAAACAAAGCAAAGTAGCTAGTCCACATATATGTTTCGTCAAAAATAATGTAATCAAGCCCAAAAGCTAATAACAAGACTGCCAACATATGCCTCCACAGGCCATTACCTTAAGGCAGATCATGTTAACTAGTTTTGAAGGCCAGCAAATGCTCCACCAATTGTGAATGTCGCATTGAACATACTGGGTTCCTTACACTTGGAACCAGGCTTCTTCGCAACCACATAATTAAGAACAATAAAACATAAAGAAACTAGGATGGGTTCACAATTCAAAGCACGTAAAGACACCACCCAGTTACTGAACATGTGATTCTATCTAAAGGTTGCTTTCGGCATTTTGACTAGCTGCTATATCACTAAATCCCATTCTCCTCTGTCATGTAACCAAAGGCTGCCGAAGCACATCCACAACTTCAAACCCATTAATGAAGGAAATGATAACTCCCCTAATCTGGAATCCAGTAGAGATTTTCCTATTGGAATAAAAGGAGCCAAGGCCAAAAAGGACCTAAGTAACTAAGCATCCCCCTGCCTTCCTCTGTTCTAGAACAAAATTTCAACTGCTTATAATCTTCAGCACAAAAGTATATGCGGCTCCTTACATTGCAGAGCATGTCGACACAATCAAACAAACATGAGATATCATGTCCCGATTGAAAAGTAACAAGTTTAGAAGACAAATCAACACCTTTCTCAGTCACCATTTTGCTCCTGCAAATCGAGAGTGATTCCCTAAAATCCAACCATTCAATTTCAGTCGTAGTTAAGTAGCCGCCAGGCCTCAACTGCCTTTGCCCGCATATAAAGTCACACAAGAAGCAGAGCAAAATTGCATAAAATATTTCAAGTCAAAACTCCAAAAAACAGAGCTGTTCTCACGCTTCATATAGTGTTGACAATCACAAGAAACGGTGATATGTCTCGAAATTTAGCTTGTTTCTAAAACTAACATATGAGAATGTCAGCCAGAAAGCACATCCGATGAACCAGTACGGCCCTTGAAAAACTCCAATCCTTCAGTTGTGCTCGTCTAAAGTAGATCCTGCTCAGTCCTGGAGGATTTTCAATCTTTTGTAGCCGACAATAAATGTCAAACAAATCCGAAGCGAATCGTAGATATCGAAGCAGATAATCTCCTATGCTCGAGGGAAAGTTAACCACAAAGAAATCGTAGAAATGAATAACTAGGGTTTTTCAATACCTGTTTTTGTTTTAAATCATAATCGCACGCGATTATAAATTCGACCAAACCTCTGACGAGACTTGAATCACAGTAACCTATCTCCGTCGCACAAATCTTCAAATCAAACGGGAAAAGAAGGCAACAAAAGAACCACCGAGATTCAATCCTTCTTCTTCACCTCGTTCTTCTTGGTTGCTAGTCAAATCCTCATTTGTACACAAATCAATTGAAGATTTTTTAACCATCCGATCGCCGGACCTTTCAACGTTGCCAAACGCCGGTCCTTCACTCCTCCGATTACTCCCTCTTCTTCCTCTTGACGATAGACACACAATCTCGTCTTCCTCGCTCTTCCCTGTTTGGATTACACCAGGGAATACACAATATCACCGCACGTATTTATAGTCATCTCTATACCCAAAATACCCTTCCCTAAACTGCCATATTTCGCTTAATTGCCTAATTTGCATCAGCAACAAATTCTTTATTTTCAGAAAATATATTTCATATTATAGTTTATATAATTTCTTATTGAAGAAAATTGAAGCCATTAGTCTCAAATCCAGAGTTCCTTTTTATTAATTGGAAATATTTAAATGAAACAACTATTATTACTCTTAATCGAACTCTTCACTACAAGTTGTTCAAATTAGCGGTGCCTTCTCTAGTTGGTACTATTTTCATTCCCTTCCTCGTTCGTTTCTTACTGACTTCCATATTAAGAAACAAATCCAACCACATTTTCTATTCGTAATGTAATACATCACGTAATGCCATGAGTTATAATTTTGAAGATGTGATACTCGTTAGCAAGCGTCTAATATATAAAGATATTTATATTTCTTTTCACATATAGAGATATAAGTCAAGATTCCGAAAAGATTACTTATAAAATATCGTATCTACAAGATCATTTACTAGACAATTTAGACAAAAATAGAATTGTAAAACTGGGATCTTGAGTCGAGACATACGATATTTTAATAAGTAAATTAACAACTCAGGTGGCGAAAGAATCATTGTATACTCCAGAAAATAGATTATCACGGGTCATATTTGACATTCACGTATCTACTTCAAAAGAAACTTGTCATTACATTACATCAATTATAATTTTTTTTTTTTATTGAGAATACACAAAACGTACAATCCAATTTTAGAGGAAAATAGTAATCCTCTAATATTTAATCATCCAACATTTACTTATATTATAGTAAAGGTGAACCCTTCTGATGCGAAATCAACTGCCGATCCATTAATCACCTAAGAACACCATATTTACCCGATCCGATAACCCAGTTTGCATCTTTTTATCTTTGCTCAAGTGCAACATAGCAAAAATGTTCTCCTCACTTTTTACCTCTGCTGGTTTGACTCATTTTCTCCACCTAAGCGACAGTAAAAAGCTGGATCTCACAAAAATACAACTCGATACTAACTTTTAAACACTGGCTCTTGGTATTATTAACTTATGAAAAATTTGTTGTTACTTCATTTTGTAAATGAATATTTGTTTGTAGATACACATAGTTAACTTGAGAAGTAAGAGTAGCAATTAAAATAAAGAGTAAAAGCCACGAGTACACATCATATGCTGATATAAATATTTGACAGAGAGCACCTTGTCAACAGCAAAAGCTGTCTACCCAATGATCATCTTTCATAAAGCAATAAATAGAACATATTAGATATTTCAATAATGCATTTTTCTTGAAGGAAGAACATATTATGTGTAGTTTGCTTAATATCTAGATGATATTGGAATTTCTATCATTATATCTCTAGCAGCTTGCTTTATATGATCTTAGACTCTCCCGTGGTCCCAAGCAGTATCATCTCTCACCCTTTCGAGAACGCAAGTTTCGGGTTGGGAAGTGAGGTTTGACAGACAAGGATAGGCCCCTATGGAAAGAGAAAGAGGGTGGGTGCAAATTATGCACCCCCTCATATTGGACATAATAGATAAGTGCACTATTGTAAACTATTGTTTCCAGAGGTGTCCTTGCCACCATTAAAGTTATGTCTAGGAAATATGGTAACAAACCCTTGAATCCCACAGCATTCACATCAGACATTAACTTTTTTGTTGAAACAATAAACTACAAACCAACAAAGGGAGGCCATGTCCAAGAGCTGCCATTTGGCTAGCTGGTGAGGCAGTTTATTATTTGATATTTACATCCCTGGGTATCCACTGGATGCTAAAAAACCAAAAAATGAAATCAAACCGCTGGTTTCCATAATTCTACTGCTTTTATTTGCAAACAGAAGATGTCCACTAATTCAGTTACTAGAGGATTTACCTTAGCAGCAAGAGCTAGTTATATCATACGCAAATCATTCCAATACCTTTAGCTCCAGAACAACACATATGACCATGGAAACTGCAGAATTCAGTCTATAATTAATCACGCACCAGACTTGAATTCAACAGTATTTTGTCTTTTTCTTTTCAGATTCAGCATAGTAATTTTCTGAAAAGAGAAAATGCACCTATCTCAAAATGATGTACCAAGAACTTTCCCTTTCTTTCCAGGAACATCTCTCTTTTGATATGACCACACTTCCGTAGGAAACATCCCAAGGACAAATCTCAAATCTTAGAGGGAATCCCTACAAAATTTGAATCGAGAGGTAAGTATAGAAATGTTTTAAGCAGCAAGTTTACCAATCACTAAATGGTAAAAGCATGGTGAAAAAA